TCTATTTCCATTCAACAATTGCTCAACCTGGCCCTGGCAATCACATTCTACTTCTGTCTCTAGGAATCTAAGAATGTCACATAAGTGAAATCGTACAGTATTTGTCTTTTTTTTTTTTTTGGTGACCAACTCATTTAATTTAACATAATATGCTGGAGATTCATGGTGTAGCATGTTTCAGAATTTCCATCCTTTTTGAGAGTGAATAATATTCCATTGTCTGTACACTCTGTTTTTCATTTGTCCCACCTCTCAGTGGGCATGTGGTCTTCTTCCATCTCTATGTGTAGTTTTTTCTCCCCTGTACAATTGTTGGCCATTTGTAATTCCTTTTTTCAGAAATGTCTGTTTGGATCATTTGCCAATTCTTTTGATTGAGTTATTGATTGATTGATTGATGGATGGATTGGCATGGAGTTTTTAGAGTTGTTCATGTATTCTCGATATTAACATTCTGTTGGAAGAGTAACTGGTAAACATTTTCTCCCATTCTGAAGGTTCTCTCTTCATGCTGTTAATTGTTTCTTTTTTGCTATGAAGAAGCTTTTAATTTGATGTCACCCCAGTTATTGATTCTTGTATTATTTTCTGAGCTAGAGGAGTCCTTGTAAGTCACTGTCTATGCCTAAATGTTGGAGTGTTTCCCCTATGTTCTCTTCTAGCAGTTGCAAAATTTCTGTTCTTGTTCCTAGGTCTTTGATCCATTTTGATTTGACTTTTGTGCAGGTTGAGAGATAGGACTCTAGTTTCAAACTTCTTTTATATATGGATATCCAGTTTTCCTGGAACCCTTTGCCTTTGCTCCAAAATAAGTTTTTGGCAAATTTCAGATGATTGTACCTATGTGGGCTTATCTGTGTGTCTTCTATTCTATTGGTCTATGTGTCTGTTTTTATGCCAGTACCAAACTGTATTTTGTCACTATGGTTCTGCAGTATAATTTGAGCTTGGATATTATAAGGACTCTAACTTTACTCTTTTTGTCCAGTATTTATTTGGCTAGTCTAGGTATTTTGTTCTTCCACAGGAATTTTCCATTTTTTTCCCTAGATCTGAGAAGAATATAATTGGTATTTTGATAAAGCTAGTATTGAATCTAGTGATCATTCTTGGTAGTATGGCCATTTTTAACAATATTAATTCTGGTGTCTTCTTTTACTTCTTTTTTCAGTGTTCTTTACTTTTTCTTGTACCGGTCTTTTACCTCTTTAGTTTAACTTATTTTTAAGTATTTTATCTTTGGAAGCTATTGTGAATGGAATTATCTTGATACCTTTCTCAGAAAATTTATTATTGGTATATAGAAAAGCTCTTAGTTTTTGTATGTTAATTTTTAAAATTCTGCTGCTTTGATGAATTTATCAGCTCTGGAAGTCTTCTTCTGGAGCTTTTAGGGTCTTCTGTGTATAGGATTATATCATCCACAAACAAGACAATTTGGTTTCTTTCTTTCCTACTTGTATCATTTCTATTTCCTTTTCTTCCCTAATTGTTCTGGCTAACATTTAAAGTACTAGATTGAGGAGGAGTGGTGAGAGTAGACATCTTTGTTTTGTTTCTAATTTTAGAAGAAAAGCTTTTCCCCATTCAGTTTTTCCCTTTTAAATATGATGTTGGCTTCTGGATTTGTCATATATACCCTTCATGAGGTCGAAGCAAGTTGCTTCCTTCTCTCCCTGGTTTCTTCAGGGTTTTTTTTCATGAATGAGTGTTGAATTTTTTTCAAAGGCTTTTCCTGCATCTATTGAGATGATTATGTAACTTTGATTCTTTTTATGTGTGTATTGTGTTTAGTGACTAGTAGTATATGTTGAATCATCCCTTGCATCCTTGGAATGAATTGAGGCTATTTACATTCAGTGTTATTTTCTTCTGTCATTTTGATTTATTTCCAATGTTTGCTTCAATCCTGATTCTCATTTGCTTATCTACTCCTGTAATGATATTAATCTTTCCTGAGATTAATTCCTTTTCTGAACTCTCTTGGTTGTTTTTATCTTCTTCTGTGAATAGAATTCCTTTAAGCATATTCTGCAATCCTGGATTAGTAGTCATGAATTCCTTTAGTTCATGGAAGATTTTTATTTCTTGTTCATTTCTGAAGGATAGCTTCACTACATATAGAAATCTTGGTATTTATTTTATTTCAGGGCTTAAAATATACCGTTACAAGCCCTCCTGGAATTTAGGTTTTTGATGAAAAATTTCATATTATTCTAATTGGTTTTTCCTTTAAATATGATCTGGCATTTATATCTCTCTTGTAAGTTAAAAAGTTTCCTTTGTTCTGGATTTTTTACATTTTAATTATAATGTGTTGTGGAGAGATTTTTTTCTGGTCTTGTCTATTTGGGCTTCTGAATGCCTCCAGCATCTGAATGTCCATTTCATTCCCAAGGTTTGGAAGTTTTTCTGTTATTATGTCATGGAGTAGGTTATCAATAGCATTAGCCAGAGTCTCTGATCCTTCCACAATACCGGTGAGCCTTAAATTCCTTAATGCTGTCCCAGAGTTCTGGGATATTCTGATCAGAGTTTTCAATATTTCTCTTTAGTGTTGTCTGAATGCTCAAGTCTATCTTGCATTCAAGTTTGAGATTATATCTTCTACTTGGTCTAATCTGTTGGACAAACCATAAACCAACATATATTTACAATACTTATTACCGGGTTGCCCTTTAACTCTACTAAATGAGAGAAGTGGGTAAGAAATAATATAAAATAGGCTGAAAAGTTAAGCCTTATTGATGGATATTAATATTAAATTGTATTGGAAGAAGAGGGAAATAAAAAAAGGAAGAAAACGGAGGGAAGGGAGACAGTAGACAAAAGGGGGAAAGAAAAATGGATGAGAAAGAAGGCACGGAGATTAGAAAAAAGAAGAGAGGTACAGAGAAAAAAAATCCAGTTAATTGAAAATAAAACCATAAAATTATGAAAAAAAAAAACCAAATAGTGAGGGAAGACACAACAGAATAGTGCACAAAATAGCACATGAGGCAACCATCAAAAAGAGTCAGTTTTCCCTTTGCTGAGGTATTTAAAAGGGAGACTCTTTTTTTTCCCCAGGGCTTTGATTTTGGAGTCCCCCAGCTATGAGGAGGTTTGTGGGACACAATTATAATACTGTTTGTGTAATTTTTTTTCAACTATGACCCAAACTGGCCAAACGTGTTAGTGTAGTCTGTTTGCTGAGCTGTGCCTCCTCTTGCCTGCCAGCGAGTGTTGGGGAGAGACGCGTGTTTCAGAGAAGTCAGCCTCAGTATCACTGTTTTGATATCTAGACATGGGGGTGTGGCTCTGGTAGGCCAGCCCTGTCACCTGGGTAGCCTATATTCTGATTTGGACTGCACGATACCCCTTGTTTGGAGAGCCTCTGTCCATGTGCTAGGGAGAGGTATGTGGGAAGTGCCCAGGTCTCATCAGCAGATCCACCAGTTGCTTCCCAGTGTGGGGGACAGGACCAGGCCCAGGGTGGGATGCACAGATAGCAGCTTTCTACCCAACTCAGACCTAGCTCACTTAAACCCCTGTTGGCCTTGCTCCTTTCCACAGAGTTCATATTGCCAATTTCATAGGAAGGTGCCTTTCACTTTGCTGTGTGGGAGATTAAAAATCTCTCACACAGAATTCTCCCACACAGAAAGTTTGAACAATAAGATTTTTTCAGCTGGCACTGATTCCCTATTTTCACTGCATCCGCTGGGAAGTGCCAGGACACACTCCCACACTTCAAAGTATCTGGGCCTGTTTTTCTGCTCTCCTTGTGGTTTCTCTGGACAGCAGAGCCTACTTTTCTTAAACTTGCTGGGAAACTTTCTTTCAGCTGGTTGCTGGGGAGCCTCCCCTCCCGCTCTGAGCCACTCACTGCCCACCTGATGCTGCAGCAGTCCATTTCTTTGATTAATTCTCTTCCTATCCAAAAAAACCCATATTTCTGGGTCTCACCTGGCTGCTGGCTCTCTGAGCCACATTCCGAGGCTTTCCCCCATCATGCAGCTACATGCCATTTTGATTGAATCTTGGGGAGCAGTTACTATATGGTGGGTTCCTCTAGCCTGTCATTTCCCCGCAACCTAAGAGCAAGTTTAGTTTTGTGAAAAAGTGTTGAAGTGTCTTCCAAAGCGGCTGTGCCGTTTTTCATTCCCACCAGCCATGAACCAGAGGTCCTGCTGCTCCACATCCTCACCAGCATTGGGTGTCGTCATTGATTTGGATTAAGCCATTCTAACAGGTGTGGATCCGACTCTTTTCTACTCATTCTTTTCATTTGGAATAACTTTCAAACCTCATCTCAAAGATTACCTCCTTTGTGAAGATTTCCTTGATGCAGCCCCCATTGCACAAGCCCCTACAGGTCTTAAAGTGAAGTGATTTCTTCTTTTCCAGATCCTATTTAAGACCCTCCCATATTCATTGCAGTTCACAGACCCTAGGCATTAATTTCCACTGCATTGGCACTCCAAAGCCTTTTGACAATTTCTGCACATTCCTGAGGTATTACTTTTTCATGATCCCCTTGCTCTATATAGGTCCTAGGCTGTGATCTTCCCATGACATCAAACCAGACAAAAGACTTAGCTTGTTCACTGTTTTTTGCAGGAAAGTTGACCCATCCCAAGGATTAATGGGGAGGGGAACATATAGCAAAATTCCTGACCTCCTGATTAGATCAATCCTCTCTTTGTTTTTCTCCTTATTACATTTCTAGATTAAAAATATTCTTCCCTACCTCGTACATTGTTTCACATCCTTCTCTTGGGCTTTTGGGGCTGCCAACATTCTCTTGGCTTTTGGGGCTGCATGTCCTGTAGGGATACACCCTATTGGATGTTGTCCTATCAGGGCATATTCACTGAAAAGTATCTATTCACCCAAGAGGGATTCTTCTATGAGTTGCTATGAGAACACAATTTACCTCCTTATATTTTGTATAGCTATTTTCATACTTATTTTTTTTCTGGATAATAAGGACCTCAGGGATAAGCATTCACTCTTCATCTTTTGCCATCATCCCTGCTTTAGAAGGGGCGATTACTATATTTTTATTGTTAATATGTGATATGTTATATATTATATGGCTTCATTCTCAAAAAGAAACAACTGAATTTTTTCAAGTAGATGTTCTTGAATTAAAAGCAGTGAAACTACTAGATGTAAAAGTAGAAACACAGACCATGGTTTCTTTGCCCAGTATATAACCTTTATTAAGAAACATCAGAAGACACAGTGCCACAGATATAATTGAAATAGCCAACAGGCAAGATCATTATGATCCAAAAAACAAGGGAGAGGTCTCATGCTGAACTGTAGAAAGGTTCAGCTGACTTCTTAGAAGCTGGATGTTGGGTGAAGACCTTCCTTTCTCTCTGATGACATCTTAGGAATGTCTCTTGGCATACTCTGGTGCCTTGGCATTGTAAAATAATTGCAGGCAAACAAGATAAATATAGATCATAAAGCAAGGTGGGAAAATAAGCATTGTAGATAGTTCTCAAGGAAAAACTCCAGAATATGGTGGTAGTTTTCAGTCTTGCAAGAGGATCAGAAATATCATCATGCAATTTGATGAACTGAAGATGGGTTCACAGCATTTTTCTGTCCACAGTGAAGATTAATGTATTCATTATAGAATAGAATCAGAATGGTGATTCTCAGACCCTTGATAGCCCACACAAGAGAAAATGAAATAGAGGTCCAAGAACATCTTAGTGGTTCAGGGATGGTCAAGAGGATGAATAGTTCAGAGATGCTGCATCCTGGGCAATCAAAAATCAGCAGGCTGGCTCTTAACAGGTGGGCTCACAGCAGGAGGGTGGTGGGCAGCTGGAGCAGCAGCAGGCTGGGCGGCAGCAGGACTGTCCACAGTAGGATGGGCGGCAGCAGGAGGCCTGGGCATGGTGCAGCTGGCAGCAGGTGGGGGGTGTGCAGCTCACGACGCAGCAGGGTGGCAGGAAGGTGCCCTCCACGCGGCAGTCTGGGCGGCACCACCTGATGCGGTAGCTCACGGCTCCGAAGCCACCCTCCTGGCCAAAGCCTCCTCCAATGCCGCCCCCAATGCCACAGCTGGACTCGCAGCAGCTGGGCTGGAAGCAGCTGGAGCCACAGTTCCCACTGGTGGAGCAGCTGGGGAATCCGCAGAAGCCGGTGGAGCAGCAGGCCATGGTGTCAGGAGTTGGGTTGAGAGCTGGGAGTTGGGTTGAGACCTGGGTTGGTTGGAGGAGTATCTGAGTTTGAGAGGTGACTGCCACATGGGGCCTTTATATATCTGAACCAGCAGCTGTTTATAAAATTCTTAACATATTTTTCTTGTTTTTGTTTAAATTTGTTCCTTAGTGGTCCTCTGATTGGCTTGCATTGAAATATTTAAGACATATTATGGGCAGCAGTTTGGAAATTACTCTGTTTTATAAGGTTTTGGGGACTCGTCATATCAGCCTTTTGCTCTTTAAAATATGTTTGTGGTTTCCCGTGTTCAAAGACTCCTCCCACTTTAGACCAGTCAGTTGACACCCTCATTTTGACAGTCCTCATTCCACGTGACTGTCTGTCCAGACTTCTAAAGCTTAGGGTAATTGTGTTATTTTTAGGTATTATTTTTTTCACTCCTGGATATATAGAATGAATTCCATTGAGTTTAGAACCAGGATATTTGCTGAAATGAAGTAGTACTTTGGTCACATAGAGTTAAAACTTCCACCACAAATACTCCAACATCATATCAAATTACCATTACAGTTCCTTTGATTTCTACTAATTTGAAATGAGTAAATACTATTTGTGTTCCAGGCCAGAAAACTATTTTATTTTATTTTACTTTTGCGAACCAAACAGCTTACTGAAAAGAAGGTATCCAGCTTAGCCTCTGGTAGCATCTTAATAAATGTTTTTTGAATTTATTATTGATTCAATAAATGTTTATTGAGTGGGTGGAGTAAAAGGCATGATTCATGAATGCCCTGCACAACTCATAAATTATTAAACAGAACTTTCAAGTTGTAACACCTGTGAAGGAGACTTGTTATTTCCTGTGAGAAGAGACTGGGAAATGTTGAATTATTTTTATCTGAATTCAATAGTTGAACTGACATTCAGGAAAAAAAATGTCTAGGAGTTATGATCTTTTGAAGAATGTACTGTCATCTGCTTTATATTTCCTGCAATGCATCTTCTGTATGATACGTCACTGCCATCAATTAAATGATAGAGGTAAGTGCTAGGAGCTTATAAAATAACTTTGAAAAAATTTTTAATGTTTTTCCTGTGTTTGTGTGTTTTTGTATTTTTGACTATTACACTCAAAAGCTTAGAGAAGAATTCAAAAATTAAATGGTAAAAGCTATTTCTTTTTGTTCTAAGTTTGTGTTCGCTTCTTAAGAGAACAATATTTGCTTGGGTTACAAATTATGCATCATGACATAGCTGTTTCAGGTTTCTAATGCAGCTGTCTGACATGGTGATGGTAGAACTCACTAGGTATGCTGCTGATCTGCTTGTTGTGTCATTTAGACCACAGATACCTCTTATACGTACAGTAAATGAAGGTGAATATTGAGAGTTGAAGTTTGGAGACCAATTTGAGAGTCTGAGGAATGAATGAGACAGGCTAAGGCATAGGAATTAAACCCAAATGCTCTTAGAAAATAGATAGTATCTGATAGATATTTTCAAACCTATTTAGTAGGTAATACCATTTCTTTATGTTGGGCATGAATGAAGGAAAACACCTGGTATGTTAAATGGGAGAGATTAGAGAAGGTTAGACATTAGAGAGATTAGATATCTAGGTAGGAACTCAAAAGCTTTGATCAACCCGAAAATTTCAGTGGAAAGTGGCTCTCTTGGTCTAGACCCAATCTTGGTAGAGTACAGCATGAAAAAATTTGAATAACTATGAAGAGTAATGAATGGAAAATTTTAGTAATAGATGGATTTAAGCATAATTTAACTTGCATTTAATATTTCTAGCTTAGCCTATATGTTTATCCCCAAGGATTATTATTGGAATGCAAAAGGAGAGTGGTCTCCTTGAATTCCAGTTGTAGGTGAACATGCTTAAAGGTAGAAGAAGGACATAAGTCTGTTTGCTTTGGACATTATAACGTTTTATTAGAAGTCACAGTGGAAAGCAGGTCTGAAGATGTGTGGGGATAGAGAAATGGGGAGGAGTGCTGAGGTGTTGTTGGATGAGGAGCTTCCCCATTCTGGAGACCTGTTCAAGCCAGGCAGGGTCTCCAGTGCATGATGATCCATATGTGGTTTCCTTAGGGGTCCTGACCAAGAGTTCCATTATTTAGGAGTAGCTTAGCAACATCATGATACTTAGCATCCAACAAATGGTATACTTCTTCAGAGAAGAACATAGTTTTCCCTTGTTTCCCCTTCCATTTTTAAGTAATCAGCAGGTTGGCTCTTAACAGGTGGGCTCACAGCAGGAGGGTGGTGGGCAGCTGGAGCAGCAGCAGGCTGGGCGGCAGCAGGACTGTCCACAGTAGGATGGGCGGCAGCAGGAGGCCTGGGCATGGTGCAGCTGGCAGCAGGTGGGGGGTGTGCAGCTCGCCACGCAGCAGGGTGGCAGGCAGGTGCCCTCCACGCGGCAGTCTGGGCGGCACCACCTGATGCGGTAACTCATGGCTCCACCCTGGCCACCTCCAATTCCACTCCCAGAGCCACAGCCGGAGCCACAGCAGCTGGTCTGGCAGCAGCTGGGTTGGCTGCAGCTGGTCTGGCAGCAGCTGGGCTGGGAGCAGCTATCCTGGCAGCTGCTGGGCTGGCAGCAGCCGGTCTGGCAGCAGTTGGGGCGGCAGCAGCTGGCGCCACAGTTCCCACTGGTGGAGCAGCTGGGGAATCCGCAGAAGCTGGTGGAGCAGCAGGCCATGGTGTCAGGAGTCTGTCTGAGAGCTAAATTGCTAAGTGATTTTTCTGAGTTTTGGTTGTACCTACCTTCTAAACCCAGCCTTTTATATAGTCCCCTGAGCTACATGTTTACCTAACGTTTAGCATCTTTTCTTGTTGCCAATTGAATTGTCAGTGTTTGATTGGCTCATGCTTGAGTTGTTTAGAAAATTATAAATAGCATTTCAATTGTCCGATCTGGGCAATGTTCAATTAAGTCTCATTATGTGTCTTTTTTGCCCTCTAAACTAAGAGAAGGTGCTTCATGGAAGCCAATCCCAGCAGCACCTCCTTATGTAATTCACATGGCAGACTAGACTTGGGGCACACACTGCCCTGGCTCACTTTGTCATACCTGTCCTTCTATAACCTTTAGACACAGTTTATCTGAACTGAAAATTTCTTCCTAAGTTGACATTCAATCCTGATTATGACTTCATCAACAAATTGTTCAGATTCGAAAAGACAAATGATATTATTGCCATCAAAACATGAGCAATCTCTTAATTCATCAGCATCCAAACCAAGTTTGCCTTTCTGTGATCAGCTGCAAGTTACAGGGTCCTAGAACTGTATTTTTGTATTCTTGCCTTCAGTCACCAATGCGCATATTACCAACTGAAGCCTTTAATGACTTTTACCTGAAAATTGTTTACTGGTTGTTCAATTAAAAATATATGCCACATGCTAATGATAGATACATATTGAAACAAGTCAAACTTTACAGATTAAAGACAAATTAATATTATTTCCCCCACCCCACACAACACCTTTTCCAAAACTAATACACCAAGATAATCAATATTGGCACTTGGTTGTATATTCTTTAACACCTTTACCTCTGCTTCTGCAATACACGTATGCACATACACACAAACATCTTCTATTTCAGTGAAGTTTGGGTCTAATACACATTTAAATTAGAAAATTTTAAAAACTATCCATAGTGAAAATCTTTTGACCATTTATCTGACAGTTTATTTCTGAGTACTCTATTGCACTGGTCCATATGTATGTCTTTATGTAGTTCTACAATGTTTTAATCACTGCAGCTTTATAATAAATTTTAAAATCAGGAAGTGTGAGACTAACCTTATTCTTCTTTTTCAAGACTGTTTTTAGTATTTTGGATCCCTCATGATTATATATGAATTTTTAATATTCTATTTGTGCAAATCACCACTGATATTTTTTTAAAAATATTTTTTAGTTATACATGGATATAATATCTTTATTTTGTTTATTTATTTTTATGTGGTGCTGAGAGTGGAACCCAGTGCCTCACATATACGAGGTAAGTGCTCTGCCACTGAGACACAACTCCAGCCCACCACTGAGATTTTGATAGAGATTTCATTATGTCTGTAGATTTCGTTGATATTTTTATCTTAACAATATTGTCTTCCAATCAATGAACAGGGAAATCTTTCATTTGCATCTTTTGAAATTTATTTCAGTTAATATTTTGCAGTTTCTGGTGTACAATTATTTCTCCTGGGTTAATTTATTCCTAAGTGTTTTATTTTTTTTGATGCTATTATAAATGGAATTGCTTTCTTACTTTCCTTTTCAGATTGTTCATTGCTAATGTATAGAAATTCAAATGATATTTTGTGTGCTGATTTTGTATTTGTAACTTTGCTAAATTCACTTATTGGTTGTAGTGTGCGTGTATAAAATCTTTAGGGATTTCTACATCAAGGATTATATTGTCTCTGAACAGAGATAATTTGCTTTTTTTCCTTTTCAATTGCTTTGGCTGGAACACCCTGGACTCTTATAAATCAAATGGATAAAAGTTGGCATTCTTATCTTGTTCCTAATCTTAGGGGAAAGAAGGGTTTTAGTCTTTCATTGTTGAGTATAAGGGAAGTATATTATTTTCATATGTGGCACTTATTATATTGAGTAGTTTGCTTCTATTCTTAGTTTATTGAATGTTTTTTAAATTATGAAAGGGATTTGAATTTTTTCAAATGCTTCCTTTGATTGTGTATTCTCTCTTTAATTCTGTTAAAGCAGTGTGTTACATTGATTGATTTGTGTATGTTGAACCATTTTTGCATTCTAGGATAAAGTCCTATTTGGTAGTGATTTTTCAATCCTTCTAATGTGACATTGAACATTGTTTGTTAATACTAAGTTAATGCTTTTTCTATGATTATTCATAAGGGATTTTTTTTTCCTTAGAGTGTACTTAACTTGACTTTGGTATAGTAAGGCTGATTTAACAGAATGACTTTGGAAGTGTTCTCTCCTCTTCAATTTTTTGGAGGATTTTGAGGATTGGTGTTAATTTTTCTTTGGTAGAATTCAACAGTGAATAAATCTGGTTCTTGGATTTTCTTTCTTGGGAAGTTTTGATTACTGATTCAATCTCCTTGTTAGTTATAGGTCTGTCCAGATTTTCTCCTTTTTTCATGGTAGGTTGTGTTTTTCTAAGAATTCATATATAGATTTGTGGACCTATGGATAAGATTTATCTATGTTATTCAAATTCTTAATATATCCTATACTTGTAACTCATTTTAATAGCTATACAATTTTCCAGAGGCTGATCATACCAGAATTTATTGAATCATTCCCCAACCAATAAGACCTCAATCATTTTTAGTTGGTGAGTTTGAATTTTAAAATAATAATAGAATTTGAAGCTGAAAGAGACATTAAATGGGCCAAGCTTTAGGTGATTAGGGGACTGAGATCTTCACTGAGAAATCATTTAATTCAACTAAGTGAACTTTGCAAACTGGTTCTACAACTATGTGACTGTGTGAGCCCAGAAAAGTCACTTAATCTCTCTGAACAATGATTTACTCATCTATAAAATGAGATGATCTCTCAGACGCCTTCCAGAGCTAAAAATGTGTAATTGTTCTACTAAGTCATCCATTCCTTAAGGGCATGATCCCTAAGGCCATGTCAGATTCACCTTGGTTGTCTACATGGTGCCTCTATACTACCTTGCTTGTAGATGCTCAATAATTGCTTGTGGAATGCAGACTGAAGGAATGATTAGCAGTTCATGGTCCTGATGAAAAGCTGAATTTGCATTTTACCAAAGTCACTTGTAATTTTACTTTATTTATTTTTTCTCAGCAAGAGCTATTTAGGTTGTAATATTGAAAAGTGGTCAGTAGTTAGAATCAAGGGGGAAAGAGGATAGAATGTGTCTCTGCTACTGTTTTGTCATTCAGAGGTTTTTCTTTGGATTGGATGATTCTTTGACTATTTGTTACCTTTGTTTATGCTTTCTAATTTTCCAGTTCTCATTAACATTGAAATGAATGAAGTGTTGTGAATTTAAACAAAGTGCTATTCTTTATACATATATAAAAAAAATACTTTCAGTACCCTCTAGTTTAAGTCCAGGGAACTGTGAATTAATCCTGAACCTTGTCTGAAAAACTATCTAAACACATGAAGCATTTCCTGACACTTAGGTTGGAAAGTGTATAAATATGTTGTGTATGTGTATGATATACAAATGTGTTTATATATAATAAATATGCATATATGTGTATATATGTGCATATATACATATATACATAATATATATTTTTTATATACATATATACATAATATATATTATGTATATATGTATATATATAATATTATATATATTATGTATTATACAATACATAATATATATATATATATATATATATATATATATATATATATATATTATTCTCACTTTCTGTTTAGGAAATGGGAAAAAATTTTTGGAGTAAAATACTCCATCTCATTGGGACTGTATTTTTTTCAGTTTTCTCCTCCTTATATTTCTCTTGCTCTAACTTGTGAGATTCCATACAAACAGAAAAATGTGCTTTATTAGCACATATTACCACTGTTTGAAGATGGTCTGAAATTTCATCCCTCTTGCAGTGGCTCCACAGAAAATTAAGCTTCATTTTCTTAACTAAGCTTCTCCAGAAATCTTCACCATAATTGATCTTAGGACTATCAGCAGAAGAGTCTCTATAGAAGAGTTCAATAAGGTAAACTTTCTATTTCCTGTTGCTCTATCTTACTTGGCCTCTGGCCTGGAAGAGATCAGCACTCCAGGTGCTGAACGCCCCTTTACTAGTTTTTCACAAACATTTATCCGGTATTGTAGTTTGTAGAAGTGTGTTTGCAAATGCAAAGTGTGATTAAAAAAAAAAAAAAGACAGGTCTCTGGCCTTGAGCTGGAGCTTCACAGAGATGTTTACTTTTCTAAGATAAAAGAAAAAAATTACTAATTGGGTAACTGCATGGTAACAACTGGCAGGAGGAGAGAAGAAAGGTTGACTTGCCCAGAACAGTGAAAGAAAAAGCTGCTTTGGGGTGAAGTTCTGCAGACTGTGAACTTCTGAGCCCCTCCTCTTACACGCTGGGTATAAAGTTCTAAACTGCCTCTCCTCAGGGTGCAGAAGGATTGATTGGTTACAGTGAAAGCTTTGCCCTCTGAACCTGACTATAGCCAAGTAAGCCTACCTTTCAGTTTTCTATTTGGTGTCCTGCCTCGCCTGTCCCCTGCAACACTGTGATTGAAGAATAAGTCATGTTTAGGCTCTAGATTCTATACCTGTCTTATTTGTAAAAGCACTGTGAGAAGTCAATGTGTGGTGACAGAACCTAGGACATTTCCGAGACCCTAGGGTAATTGACTTTACTGTGTATTTTTATGGGGCTTAACATCCACCATACTTCATCACATTTCCTAACAAGAAGAATAGTGTGGGATAAAAAAACAGATTGAAATCTTCCATGTGACTTTGTGTGAAATATCTATCACAAACACAATAAAGAAAAGAGATTTTTGCTGCACCATTAGATATAATTTATTAGATATTGGCATATTCTTCTTCTTCCATAAGAGGAACAATTTGCAGGATGGTGAAGTAGCAGAGGGGAAAGTATCTGAGAAGAAGAGATAGTTCTTCCATGGGCTCTTCCTCAATGAGCTTCGGAGAGTGTGGTCAAATATCTGCAGAAGATCACAAATGGTTTTCCCATTTCTTCAGTCAAATCTGTGTTTTCCTCAGAGGAGAGATCAAAGTCTTTCTGGAGTGAAAACATAGTTCTGTGAGTCCCAACTATTTGGTAACCCCCATAACAAAAGCCAAATAAAGGGTCAAGGATTTGTTAGTGTTCCAGGAGTGGTTGAAGAGATAATTAGTTCCTGGCCTGAGTGCAAACTTGAAACTTCAAGTTGAGAATCAGCAGGCCTGCTCTTAACAGGTGGGCTCACAGCAGGAGGGTGGTGGGCAGCTGGAGCAGCAGCAGGCTGGGCGGCAGCAGGACTGTCCACAGTAGGATGGGCGGCAGCAGGAGGCCTGGGCATGGTGCAGCTGGCAGCAGGTGGGGGGTGTGCAGCTCGCCACGCAGCAGGGTGGCAGGAAGGTGCCCTCCACGCGGCAGTCTGGGCGGCACCACCTGATGCGGCAGCTCAGGGCTCCACCCTGGCCACCTCCAATTCCACTCCCAGAGCCACAGCCGGAGCCACAGCAGCTGGTCTGGCAGCAGCTGGGCTGGCAGCAGCTGGGCTGGGAGCAGCTGGGTTGGCAGCAGCTGGGCTGGCAGCAGCTGGGCTGGGAGCAGCTATCCTGGCAGCCGCTGGGCTGGCAGCAGCCGGTCTGGCAGCAGTTGGGGCGGCAGCAGCTGGCGCCACAGTTCCCACTGGTGGAGCAGCTGGGGAATCCGCAGAAGCTGGTGGAGCAGCAGGCCATGGTGTCAGGGGTTGGCTGGAGGATTGTGTTGCTTAGAGAAGTTCTTGAATTTTAGCAGTGACTGCCACATGGGACCTTTTATAATCCTTGGTCAGCTTCTCTTTTCCTTATTCCCAAAGTCTTTTCCTTGTTTGTGTTTAGATAATTTGCCTCTGAATGCTAATTGTCCTGTTCCTGAGTTATTTGGTCAACCTTCTTAAAGCCTTTAAAAGTTGATTTTATTTGGCTTTCAATTAGGGTTCTGTATCATGGTGCAGTAGTCACTAGCGTTCGTTGAGAGCATACCCCTAATCCCTCATGTTTGTTAAAATTTTTCCATTGCCCAAAGGATAATTGACTAATGCTGCTCACCTTTAAGGAGTGTCAATATTACTCAAGTTTGACCCTTATAACTGGATACTGGGGTCTCCCATGGGAGTTCAATTCCTAGCCGATGGCCCCCAATGTTAATGGCTGCTCCTTCTCTTTCTCATCTTCACTTTAGCTGTGAAGCAAGACTAGATTAAACTGGTCAGAAAAGGGATGCTTTCTTTCATACTGGGAAATGTGAATGGGTTGTCATTTGTAACATTTTGGGAGTGCTTGTTATAATACCTCAATGTTCCAAATACCTTATATGTATCAATTCACTTAATTTTCTCAGCAATCTTATGGGGTGGGTATCACTGCTACTCTGATGATCCAGGTGAGGAAAATGAGCCACAGACAGATTTAATTAACAGGTCCAAGGCCACACCAAGGTCACAATGTGAAGCTGGAATCTGACCCTCCACTCTCTGACTCCAGACTAAATTGTGAACCGCAGTAGCTAGTTCCCATTCTTCCCCGCTCAAGTAAGCAGTTGTTCTAAGGAAAATCGAAGGGGGGAACCCAGATGTGAAAACTTGCCCTCTTTCTTCCAGACATTTTTGAGAGTGAAGAGGTATTAGCTTAGCATAAATAATAACAATGTTAATTAGAGACTTTGCTAGAGATTTTGTTTATTTTTTAATAGCTTCATGAACATGTGCCAAAAGTGTGAACTTAATTGTGACTGTGCCCAATCTTTTATCTCAGGATATTCTATAAATTTAAATGGTTTTAGTTGCATAAAGTTATATTCAATATATTTACAATGGAGTATGTGTCAGTTGTTTGTTAGAACTACAGTATGCGGGTCGTTGTAGATGTTAGAGACTAGTCTACCTTCATCTGTTGCCACATTCAAATCATATAATTTTTCCAGCCCATTAAAGATGAAGGTTTCATTAGGGTGAAGTGAAAGGTGACCAGGCCTCCATGGAGCATGGGCTGTACTGCAGAGAAAGGGAAGTTCAAATGCCAGCCAGGGGCTTTGAACCAGAATACCGAGTGCTGTTCTGTTTGTCCAAAAATGAAGGTTTTGAGCAGAGGTCATAAACTATTCCCAAGTCAGAATTAAGACATATTTGAAAATCCCGCATCCTATTTGAAATAGAAGATCATGTTCCTTGTGAATTTCTGGCTGCTTCTTAAGTTTCTTTGACGTGCTATTCTTTCCTTGGATGCTTAAAATGCGCTTTAAGTCATTGTCACACTTGTAGGAGCTATTGAATTTATATCTATACTTGGCAGAATCTTTGATATTCAAGAAGATTTCACCAGCTCTATGAAGATGATAAAAAAACCCAGAAGAAGGGGGTTGGAAGGGGAGTGGAGAGGGACAGGAAAGGGGAGGATCAGTGGAATGAGTTTGACCAAATTACACTGTGTGCCTGTACCACAGTGAATTCCACCTTTATAAACCCTATAAAGTACCAGTTTATAAAGATAATTATATAGGGGGAAGGCCAAAGAAGTAGAGAAGGGGAAATAGGGAGGGGAAGAACAGGAGGGAGGGAGAAGGTACTAGGGACTAAAATGGAACAAATTATATTCCGTGCATGTATGGTTATATCGGAATGAACCCCACAATTATGTATAGCTATAATACACTAATAAAAAAATCTTTGCTTGCAAAAAGTTTAGATATTTGAGGAGTTGAAATACTTTATTGATAATAGCACTGTAGACAGTAAGTGTTGCACTTCGGATTTCAATTTCTGGGCTTTTCCGCCACGGTAATGCTTTCAACATCTTCTTCAATTTAACTCAGTTTCCATGTTCTGATTTTGAATTGCCCTTAGGGAATTATTATGTTTTTCTTTTTTAGTACCAGGGATTGAACCCAGGGGCACTTAACCACCGAGCCACATTCCTAGCCATTTTTACTTTTTTTATTTAGAGACATGGTCTTGCTAAATTACTTAGGGCCTTGCTAAGTTACAGAGCCTGGCTTGGAAGTCCCAATCCTCCTGCCTCAGCCTCCTGAGCCACTGGCATTACAGTGAGAATTCTATTCCTCAGCAACAGAATGAAAACTAATCTGATCATTCCCTTACTTCCCCTCAATCAATCAAGAAAATGAGAATTAACTGGCATCTTTTCTTCTACCACTTGAACCCATGTCTTCTTGATTGGGTCCACGGAAATAGAGGAACAGGTCACAAGCATTCATGGTGTTACAACTCTATTGTTTTTTGGGGGGGTAACATGCCAGTACCTTGACATAAAAGATTTTTAAAAATTACTGTGCTTATTCTCTTTGGTTTCATTACTTCTTTCAGGTTGAGAGGGCTCAGGCCATTCCAGTACCATAAGAAGAAACGACATGTTTGGGGCTGCTATTTTTGACCATTTGACCTCTATTTAGGAGAGACACTAATGTTTTGAGTTGTCTTTTCTTTGTGTCTTTCTTTATGTCAGCTTGGGAGCCTGAGGCAAAAGGACTGCCGGTTCCAAGTCAGTCTCAGCAACTTAGGGAAGCCCTTAGCAACTTACTGGGACCTTGTCTCAAAATAAAAAATAAAAAGGGCTGGGGATGTAGCTCAGTGTTTAAGTGCCCTGGTTCAATCTGTGATGCCGCAGTCTGGCTGGGCACAAATCACCAGCCACTGAAGCAGGAACAAACTTTATTTTTAAACTGCAGGAAAACACTTCACACAGCTCCCAGGGAATCCTCCCGAATGCACGAGGCTTGTCCAGGAACCCCCAGCCGGAAATATCTCTCCCGGAAATCCCTCCTCCTGCACTTCCCCAACCAATGGGAACTCTCGGGGAATCCCCGGAAATCCCCACGAGAACTCCAAAATAGTGCGAGAACTCAAAAGTTGCGGCAGAGGCCGATAGTAATGCCTCGCCTGTCAATCAATCCTGTTGGCAAAATGCCAGGGGCCATACAGACTCGGCCGTGGCTCTCAGCACTGTGATGCCAAACCCAAAAGGTAACAAAACAAATAAAAAAAGAAGTTAGGAATAATGTTTTCTAGTTACAAATTTTAGGGGTTCTTCCAAATCCTTGCCTTCCATTTTACTAGTTTTCTAATCCAGTTGCATCTGCCTCACTTAGACTTCCAAGGAATAAGATCTGGGAATGCATCAACCAAGGGAGCACACCAAGGGCATCCTTGCTCCTGTTCTGGTGACCTGGACTGGACAGCAAATAAACTTCAAGTATCTCCTCTCACCTACAATTTTTTATTCCAAACCAAGTATTAGAATCTTTCTCAGTTCACCTGGATGCCAACCCAGCTCTTTTTGGTGCTTCTGAGCTAAAGCCCTTCTAAGTGAAAGGTACATCAATACTAAACCTTTTTATCCTAATGAGAGACAAGAAATCTGTGTATGAGGGGAATTGAATGTTGACTGTGCTATAGAGCCACTAAGTGCAGAAATGCAGGCTGTGCCCTGATGTGGGGTTCTGTCCATTCTGAGGAAGGAGCACATTGTTCTTCATACCAAGATGCTGTAGGCTCCATAAGCTGCATGCCCAGGTATGACGTGGCACCTTCATACCTTCATACTAGATAAAAGTGGCACCTTTATCTAGTTCTAGTAAAATTGTATGAGTGGAGGTCACATTCCTTCAGTTACTGTAAATTGAGGTGAAATTCACATAACATCAATTAATCATGTTGAAGTACATAATTGAGTGACATTCAGTGCCTTAATCTACAACCACCACCTCTCCAGTTTTAAAACTTTTTCATCATCCCAGAAGAATACCCCATGATCTTTAAAGTAATCACCTCCCATGTCCCTTGACTCCCAGTGGTGGCTCGCCATGTTGATTTTATGACCAAAGATTGTATCCTATGGAATGGGAACATTGTGTATCTTTTATTTTATCTTTACCTTATTTCAGAACACTTTCTGGAAATTAGAAAAAGAGTGATATCGACAGTACATGGTCCAACATCATATTTTCTGTTTCATAATACATGAGAGGATTGCATACATATTGTGAAAATATCAGTTGGTACTCCCTCTCATCATTTTCCAAAGCATGCTTGGAATAGCATTAGAGAGACAGGATATTAACAAGCAAAATATGAGCAGAGGATTTCTTGGCTAAATCAATTTGAGAATGATGGCTATAGAGATTTCTTTATTGCAGGTCACCTCAGTCCCTTTAATGACACTTGGTTTTCTAAAGTGCTACATATGTATATATTAAACATATTATGTATATATTATTATATTACATATATTATATATGTATTGTATGTGTTAAATGTATTAATACTTATAAATTTATATTAAATATGTATTAATGTATTAAATATATATAAAACTTTATAATATGGTATACATTAAATACCATATAGTCTAATATGCTTTGTGTATATTAAATATATATAATATATAGTTTAATGTGCTTTATAGACCTCAAAGATGGTGATGAAGCATGGAATATTGTTTGATCATTCAACATTTTTTCCCCCTTGGGACATCTGAAGGGATTGACGGTATGGCACTTGTTTAGGAAGTTATCTATTTGTGTATGAACATGCTAAGTTGAAATAAGTCAGACTCAGAAAAACAAGTGTCATGTGTTTCCTCTCATTTGGAATCTATAAGGAAAAAGAAAAAGAAAAGAGATGACGTGAAAGCAGAAGGGCGACCACTCGGGTAGAGAAAGGGGTGAGAGAGAGAATTCATGGAGGTCACGGGAAGTCCAACTGATTGAATTATGATATATATATATACATACACACACACACACACACATATATATATGTACAAATATGCCACAATGAGACTCATTAGTCTGTATAATTAATATATACCCATAAGAGATAAAAAATAAAAAAGAAGTGGTTGTCCTGGTAAGTGGAGTGACTTGCCCAAGAAGTCATGAATTGAACTGGGGGCAGGGACAGCACACCTGTAATCCCAGCTACTCAGGAGGCTGAGGCAGGATGATAAAAAGTTCAAGGCCAGCCTGGACACTTTTGCAAGACTCTTTCTCAAAATAAAGCTTAAAAAAGATATAGCAGTGGTATAGTGTCCCTGGGTCTAATCCCCAGTACCAAAACGAATGAACAACAAAGAAAGAGGAAGCCATGGATTGTTAGTTACAAAGCTGGGACTAGAAATCAGGACGCCTCTACATCTTATGGTGATGTTTTACAACCTTGTGTTTATGATCTTCCCCAGTTTGCATTTGCTTTTGTATACCTTTGATGTTGAAAGAGTTATACACCAACTCAAATGGATGCATGGATGGGTTTAGCAGCACCTCAAAAAGCTGAATCACAAGAACTTCCTTTTTCGCAAAACTGATCTTTTCTAATACTGAGCCCACCACTTTGTACATGTGAGGGCATTGGGAAACAGTTGCTGACTACTGTTGTGTTTTTATTTATTTATTTATTCTACATAAATGCATTGGGTTCTTTTAACTGTATACTTTGGCTGAAGAATATTGGGCCATTTACTAGCAAAACAAATTAAAACAAAAACCACTTTCAAAGATCGTTATGAAAAGAATAAAAATAAAGAAAAACTATAGAGCTTTGTAGAGATTTTGAAAAAACCCATATTTAACAGATTCCAAAGAAAATAAAGTTCTATCAACGACTCATCATTGAAAATATGGCTTTTATTAAATTCTAGTCCCAAGAAGCTGTTGAAACAATTTAAATGACATTTATAGTAAAATATCACACATCCCTTTTCAGATTGTAGGACTTCTGTTGATGCTAAGGTCTATGAGAAGTTTTTGATCTTCCACCGAGAATGAATCTACCTCCTAGGAAATCATGTACCTGTGTGACAAGGAGTTGTGAGCTGGGTTAAGGGTATTGGAATTCAGAAATTTGTTGGAACTCTTCTTTGGTTAGTTTGAAGTGCCATCTTCTTGATATTCTTCTCAGAAGGAAGTTTTAACAGGTGGGCTCACAGCAGGAGGGTGGTGGGCAGCTGTAGCAGCAGCAGGCTGGGCGGCAGCAGGACTGTCCACAGTAGGATGGGCGGCAGCAGGAGGCCTGGGCATGGTGCAGCTGGCAGCAGGTGGGGGGTGTGCAGCTCGCCACGCAGCAGGGTGGCAGGAAGGTGCCCTCCACGCGGCAGTCTGGGCGGCACCACCTGATGCGGTAACTCATGGCTCCACCCTGGCCACCTCCAATTCCACTCCCAGAGCCACAGCCGGAGCCACAGCAGCTATCCTGGCTGCAGCTGGTCTGGCAGCAGCTGGGTTGGCTGCAGCTGGTCTGGCAGCAGCTGGGTTGGCAGCAGCTGGTCTGGCAGCAGCTGGGCTGGGAGCAGCTATCCTGGCAGCCGCTGGGCTGGCAGCAGCCGGTCTGGCAGCAGTTGGGGCGGCAGCAGCTGGCGCCACAGTTCCCACTGGTGGAGCAGCTGGGGAATCCGCAGAAGCGGGTGGAGCAGCAGGCCATGGTGTCAGGGGTTGGCTGGAGGATTGTGTTGCAAAAGGATGTTTCTGAGTTATGGCTTCTTATTCCACCTCGGGCTTTTTATAAGCCTTAGCCAGTTCCTCCGTTTGTGACGGCATTTTTATCTTATTAGTCTTTAAACCAGTTTTTTTAAGGGCCCTCTGATTATTCAAATGCTGAGTTACTTTAAACATATCTCCAAATAGGTTTTTCCTGATTGCTCAGCTAATGCTCACTAAATGTGTTCGTCCTTGGTGGCAATGTTGATGTTTCATTTTCAAACAATGCCGTAATTCCCACTCAAGTCTCATGCTTGTGGTTGTGGCATCTGACAAGGTGACTCTTTACCTATACGATGTTGTGATTTTGAAATCATATTCACCAGAACTAAAATTTCCAGAAAAGAACTATTAATCAAGGAATGCCTTCATGTAAGGCCACTTAGATGAAGGCTATATTTATATTTTTAGATTGGTAAGATTATAGTCTCTACAATAAGCTAGGCAGAAACTCTGATAAACTCCACATTCATAGAAATTCATAGATCGCTCTAGATATTGCATCCTTTCAATTTCTGGGATCTCTCCTAAACTTCAGATAGTCATACTTGAGAAAACATCTATAACTCAAGAGGGTGGATGGAACAAAGCTATTCCGTTCCACTTTAATAAGAAATAGGATAAAATTCATATTCAATAACTGTGAAAAATCATAAAATATTTGTAGAGAAGTTTATTCAACTCCACAAAAGGTGAACATCATTGCTATATGGATTGTTTAGATGCATTTATTTCTCAAAGGCAGGATTTACTTTCAGTTTAGGTCACTTTATGTTACTACATATGTGTTTTATAAAATGATATTGGACCAAAGAGCATGACAATTGGACTTATGAAAAGGAAACAAAGAAAGAAAAAAGTTTTTTCTTTTCTTTTTTTCTAGATCACAACAGAAGACTGTTTAGGAAATGAATGATCAATTGTACTTAAATAGTTTATAAATTCAAAAGCTTTAGAATAAATTTCAGCTGCTTTATAGTTTCTTATAGTAGACTTTATTATTTGGTAACTGTTAAAAAAACAAAAAGGCAAATTTTAGCAAAAGTTTAAGCAACTCCTGGTAGTTGCCAAAAAAAAAAAAAAAAAAAAAAGAACATGGCTTTTCACTGTTTAGGGTTACATGAAAAAAAGTGTTGACCAAGAAAACATGTTGCTACCTGTGATACGTTTATTCTTTCCTTCCAATAATAAGTAGAAGCACACAGTTTTTATGAGATATCAGTTTGTATATTAAATAGAATTACAGTGGAATATGATTCATGCCAGTTCATATTATGGTAACCGTGTCAGTAGGTATGATTACATGTAATCATTGAATAGTGGAGGTTAAAGATAAATAAATCATCATTTCCAACCTCTTAATATTGTAGGTGTAGAAACTGACATCTGTTTTGTTTGGGGGAAGACCAGGGATTGAACTCAGGGGCACTTGACCACTGAGTCACATCCCCAGCCCCAGCCCTATTTTGTATTTTATTTAGAGACAGGGTCTCACTGAGCTGCTTAGTGCCTCACCATTGCTAAGGCTTTGAACTCATGATCTTCCTTCCTCAGCCTCCTGAGCCGCTGGGATTATAGGCATGTATCACCATGCCCAGCCTGACATCATTCTTAATATAAATAGCATATTTGTTTAATTTTACTGTTCACAGAGCACTAAGGATTTGCAAAGAAAACAAGATCTTATTTGTCTGTCTCATATCTTGCTCTAGTGCACAAATCAGTGTGGTATCAATAGGAAGCAATAATCAAGAAAATGTGTTAACCATATGGCATCAGAGTTCTAAATTGGAACACTGCTCTTGTGGTATTGACCACTTCTACTTTATTTTTTAGTTTATTCTAGAATACTATTGAGTCTGGGAATAAATACGTTTTGGAAAAGTTGAATGACTTTCTGCATTGCTACAGTCTGTAGCCAGAAGAATTGGGTATAAAATTCCTACCCACTCTTTCTTAGACCACTTCTTTTTTCTTTATACCACGCTGATTTCCAGTATTAATTAGCATTAGTAAAACTTCATGTCTCCTGCTTTTATTTTGAATATTTTAGAATAGCTCAAGAAGAGAAATATGGGATGATGGGAAGAATATATTGTGGAGCAGTGATTTTAAATTCATAGTAAATAAATGCAAATATGTTAAAATTCTTTGGTTTGCAGACCAGAAGAGTTTTCCTTAGAAATGCAACATATCACATTTGGTTCCCTAATCATTCCATGTTTCCTGTATCCAACTTAGTGAATATGCTTTCTGGGCTTCCAATCTGTCATATTCATCATGTGTTCTTAATCCACAGCCATCATCTTAATTCAGCTCTTATGTCACTTGCACCAGGGCAATAGCCTCCTGATTAGTTTCTGTATTTTTTTTTTAAATCTGTGGACTTGACCTCTGTCATTTTAAGGAGCTTCCATAGACTTCATACCATCATGTCAATTCCTGCCCCAAAGCTTTCAACAGCCCCTTAGTGTTTGCTTACCCACTCCTTTGACTAATATGTAAATCATACACATTTTTCAAATTTTTCTTATACTATCACTCTACATATATCCAGTGCTCCTAACCTGACTTTCCTCTGCACGACTCTATGGTACCTCCCTCTGTAATTTTGCCCATAGTTTTGGTGCCCTTCCTGGATGCCAGAACCTTAACTCATAGAAAACTCTAGCTTCTTTCAATCTTTCTTGTTCTCTCCAATCAACAGTGACTTATCTGGTGACACTGTGTAGTATATTTTACTTTTATTTTTTCATACGATACTCTTTTGTCAAATTATGGTGGATTTCACTCATCCCCATAGAAATGTTTTAAAGAGAGGGGAACATTTTTAGGTCAGTTTTAATGTCTCTGGTATACCATGCAGATGGTAGGCAACCAGCACAGTTTTCACTGAGTTGAAATTTAATGTAACATTTAGCATTAGTAAATAAAGCCAAAGCAGCATTTGTGAGGCCAAAGAAGTCAAGTTTATTAGAAAATAAGCATCCCCCAAGACCTTAGATCCAAGATGGAAATAAGGACATTACTTCTATTCAGAGACTTGAGATCATCCCAAGTCTTAAGAGATGAGCTCAGGTCTCCTTTCGCAGGCAGGTTGGTTTAGGGTCTTGGTGGCTCAGGTCAGGAGTTTGTTAGGTAGAGAAATGGAAATTCAAGTTTCAGAAGGTTGATTGCTTGCTCGGGAGTCAGCTCACTTCTTAGCAGCAGGGGTTGCAGCAGGAGGTCCTGCAGGTGGTGCGGCAGGGCGCAGGCTGGCAGCAGTGGGGGCGGCAGCAGGGCGCCTGCACACTGATGGGCTGGCAGCTGGTGGAGGCCCAGCAGCAGGGTCTGCAGACCACGGCCGTGCAGGACGTTGGGCAGCAGGTGATGGGGCGGCAGCAGCCTTCCTGCAGGCCACAGGGGTCGCAGCAGATGGGGCGGCCGGTGGGCTCACAGATGGGGCGCGTGTAGCGGGGCACACAGGTCACGGGGCGGCACACGGTGGTCTGGCAGGACACGGGGCGGCAGCAGCAGGGGTCGCGGCTGCAGCAGGGCTGGCAGCAGCCTCCACAGCTCTGGGAGGAGAAGGAGCCACAGCAGGAGCCGGTCATGGTGGAGTGTGGGCTGGAGTAGTGTTGAGGACTTGAGAGGAGTTGGAGGTTCTCAGGTGTGATGTCTTCTTCCTTCTCTGGGCCCTTTATATACCCTGGCCAGGTGCTGATGACCCTCTTGTTTGTCTTTTGACCAATTAAGTGGACATTTTTTTGACTAATGGTTCCTTGTGACATACTCATGATCTCATTGAAGAATTCTTGTTGCATCTCTAAATATGAATGTATTCACACGGTTCATCATGAAAACCTAACATTCATAGCCATTTGGGATGTGGCCACTCCCTTTTAATTGATAGATGATTGTGTATCTTTATGGGGAGCATAGTATGATGCTTTGGTACATTTTTACATTGTGTATTGATCAATCCAAAAGACAGGCTATTCATATCTCAGACATTCACCATTTCTTTGTGATGAGAAATTCAAAATCCTCTCTTCCAACTATTTTTAATCACATAATGCAATACTGTTAACTATATCTATCTTCAGTCGAATGGAGTACCAGAACTTAATTTTCTTCTCAGGCTGTGACTTTATACATTTTAACCAACATCTTTCCTTATCTCCCTCTCTTGATTGTTGCTTATTGTGAGGAGATAGGACCCAATGAAACCTGGATAAAATGGTCCCAAGGAACCTCATTTTATTAAAATAAATGGAATAGAGGAATACACAGAACATTGACTAGATACCTGTTCTCCAGCAGGTTATCTGAAAACACTTGCCTGTGAATCAGACAGGTGTTAGACACATGCTTCCATGCAATTCCTTGGGGATATATTTGTTTATCATTTTATATAGAAGAATATGTATAGGATGGGAGCTCCTATAAAGAAAAGCAAATGTTTATTTATTGAAATAAGAGATCTGAGACTTATGTATTTTTTTTTCTTTTCTTCAGTGTAGGCTATGTGTAGTTCTGGTTTTTCTGTCACAGGTATTGATTTTTATCTCCACAACATGACATTGTTTATTGATTTTTATCTCCACCATATGACATTTTTTTTTTATATTTGCCTTTTACAACATAAGAGTTATATCATGGGAAGGTTTTGCTTCCTACACCTTGACATGGGTGTTATGACTACCAAGTGACATTTTGGAGGTTTTCTCATCCTACTTTGCAAACATATTATACAATACACTATTGAGGGGAGGCAGGTGGGATATTGCCACCCAGTCATCCCGCTGTGGCCCTGCTTGAAATGTGATGGCCATACTTCTTTAGGAAACATCAGCAGGGGCAGTGTAAGGACTGCATGACAGGGCAATCTCTACTTTCCAGCTTGAACCTTCCTATTATTTGCCAGTAGCATCTGGATCACTTTAGGAGCATTTCCACCATTCAAAAGAATGTAGCTTGGGCCCCAGGATCTAAAGTTTCCCAAATGGAATTTCAGATTTTTTAAAGGAATGTAAATTGACTGAACACATTCCACAGTTGAGGAGACAGGGGAGGGAGAAATTAGGCAGTCTCATTGCTAATGACCTTTGACGCTCATGCTTCACATTCTTGCCTTCATTCATGAACTTTTTTTTTTTTAAATAGTAACCTAGATAAAAAGTTAGATATTCTATTCTTTTCAGGACACAATACCTCATAATCAATTTTCATGTTGCTCTGGAGTTTTTATGAATACCAACCCCCCCACCCCATGGGAGCCTCTTCAGACAACACATAAAGTTATCAGGGCTAATTTCTCTATTGCAAATACTTCTCATCTAATGTCGTTCCAAAGAGATTTTTCTTTCTCATGTATGAAGATCCACAAAGATCAAGAATCTGAGAGTCACTCAGTAAACTGTCCCAGTGTTTACTCCCTTAACACATTTTTCCCACCGCAGACCAAAATTCATTTTCAGGCAGAGAACATGTGGCTCATGTTCCCAGTGTCCACACTGTAGGGTTGAGGGAGGTGGGCATTGTGCTTTGACACTGGAGGCAAGTCAGCTGTTACTTTCTGAGGCCACTACAACCAGGCAACACTCATTTAAACCGTGCCACATGCTGGCATATAATAATGACCCAAGTACATGTCAGGATTGTCATGAGGATTAAATGAGCTAATACTTGCCAAGAACTAAGAAGTGACTGACAGTGTCTTATATTTATCAAATTAAAAAAGTAATTTAAAAGGTCACATCCTTTTTGTGCCTGATAAACTCTAAATTTTGCATTTAGAACAAAACCCAACGTGCTTAATATGGCACAAAAAATTCAAAATGATCAGTTGTCTTCTCAGTCACTATAGAAATACACATTCAATAAGATTATTCAGTGACAAGTTTCATGACTAGCACAAAGTAAAACTAAAATACCTGGAAGGCAGATATAGAGTTCTCTGTCAATCTCTGCTAAGTGGAATCAGGTTGTTATTTTGATAACAGGAAACACAGATATCAGAACCATGGATAGAATAATGAACTCTAGATAGGGCAGAGGCATGGGAGGGGAAGAGAGGGGGCAGGGGGTTAGCAAGGATGGTGGAATGTGATGGACATCATTATCCAAAGTACATGTATGAAGACACACATTGGTGTCAACATACTTTATATACAACTAGAGATATGAAAAATTGTGCTGCATATATGTAATAAGAATTGTAATACATTCTGCCGTCATTTAGTTTTTAAAAAATCAATTAAAAAATATATAAGTTTTACTGAAAACTCCACAGCCCAGCAATGCAGGGTGGCATCTTAGGGACAAAAATCTTTTTTTTTTTTTTTAAAGCAAAACAAATTTAGACAGGTTGCTGGTGGTGGTAGAAGATATTTTTGTCATAACAAATCATAGGGCTTTGTTAATTAACTATAATATTATGAATACATTTTAATGTGTGAAATGTTATCTTGTGTTTTAGATTTGAAGAAATTTTTGTCATAACAAATCCTAGGGCTTTTTAAAATCATTATATCCAACAACAACATTAAAATAAATTTTAATTTGAAAAATATCATCTAGTTTTCTGGATTCTTGGTTGCCTGTACAAATGGATAAAAACAATTGTATATTTAAGGTGAATAGTTAACAACTTTTATTTTTTTTATTTCTATTTTTTTATTATTAGTTTTTTTATTATTAGTTGTTAGCAACTTTTAAACAATACTTATTTGGGGGCACAACAATAGAGCATTGTGATTTCTATAGTGGAGATGATCATAAAATGATAAAAGATAAACTCAAGATTTAATAATTTGGTCACATTTTGAAGACATCAGAGAAGTCCACTACAAATAACATAGTGATATACCTTTCTGTTAAACAAAGAAAATTTGTTAGTAATACAAACAATAGCTGTCTAATTTATCTCCTTTAAGTCCATTTAGATTTTTATAGGTAAGTTTTTCAAAGTAAAACATAGTCAAGGGAAATGTTTAAATATTTTTCCCAAAATAGTTATAACTGTTAGGTAATATATTCCATTAAAAATAAAATATATGTGCATTTAAAAATTATATAATTAAGAAAAATCTAAAAAAGAAAATGAATACTATCATAAACTATGGTTAGATTTTGTTATATAATGCCACAGATTTTTTTTTTGGTAAGTACTGAGGATTAAACCTCAGCTGCTCTACTACTGAACTAAATTACCAGCCCTTTTTATTTTTTGAAACAGTGTCTCAATAAGTTGCCCTGGCTGGCTTCAAACTTATGATTCTCCTGTTTCAGCCTCCTGAATATCTGGGACTATAGGCATGTGCCACCACACCTGGCTGTTATAGGTAATTTTTCCTGCGTACACACATATAGACATGCAACAAAAATTTCCTTCACAATGTGGTTTTATACTTTATAGTTTGTTTATTTTTTCACTTAAATATATATGTGAGAAGCAATTGCATGATATTTCCTAATATGTTTATAATCTTCAACTGTTTTTTTACTATTTTTTATTTATAAAAATATTTTTATTTATATTATAACTATTTTTATTTAATTGCTTATATTATACATTATTTGTCATTTTTCTTATTTATATCTCATCTTTCCAAATAGACTATAACATCTTTGAAGCTGGGACACCATTTTATTCCTTTGTGTCCTCTCAGGGTGGTGAACTTAATGCCACATTCATAATAGATATTCAATAAACATGTGTAGATTGACATCCTTGATTCATTTTCTTGGAAAATACCACTAATGTGGAATTTCTGAACATAAAGGCAAATAGCCCCAGACAGCAAGTGCAGATATAGTATTCACAAGAGTCGGTGTTGTCAATAACATTCTCAAATCTCAAACACAAAAAAGGAGATTCTTTATCCAGGATAGCATTTACACTTGGGCACAAAGGAAAAAGAATGTCAAGATTCCTTCCTTCTCAAGCTACCAGGCCTTTGTGGTGTACCAACAGGGATCAGTTCAGTAAACAAACCCTCAGGCCAGAAATTAAGCGTCAACCCAGATTTGGCCTCCTAATGTCCTCCAATGGAGGACAATTCTCAGGTGGCTGATCCTAGAATACTGACTTCCAACTTCCTCGTCAGCTACAATGCTCTGTACTTGCCATGTACCATAATTATGAAACAAACAAACAAACAAACAAAAAACTACTTAGATTGTTTCAGAAAACAAATTAAGAAAATTATTCTGCATCGTGCCTTGAAAATCTCTGGATGATGACAATCTAGCAGAAGGAAGTATTACAAAGACCATGATTCTATGCTGAAAGTATTCAGTTTATTAGAAACAGACAACGTGATATAGGAGTTAGGTGAGGGTCCAAAGAGGACAGAGGAGTCTTCATCAGTAATTGGTCTGAGAAGTGTCTTCCGGACATAGCCAGAGCTAGTAGGAAAAGAGGAGGGATGGGCTTCTCAGGAAAATGCAGAGTGGTCTCTCACGATGCCCCAAAGGGCTATAGGATAGACCCACTCATCTCCCGAGGCTCCCTTAGTTATAATAGGCTCTCAGCAGCAGGGGTTGCAGCAGGAGGTCCTGCAGGTGGTGCGGCAGGGCGCAGGCTGGCAGCAGTGGGGGCGGCAGCAGGGCGCCTGCACACTGATGGGCTGGCAGCTGGTGGAGGCCCAGCAGCAGGGTCTGCAGACCACGGCCGTGCAGGACGTTGGGCAGCAGGTGATGGGGCGGCAGCAGCCTTCCTGCAGGCCACAGGGGTCGCAGCAGATGGGGCGGCCGGTGGGCTCACAGATGGGGCGCGTGTAGCGGGGCACACAGGTCACGGGGCGGCACACGGTGGTCTGGCAGGACACGGGGCGGCAGCAGCAGGGGTCGCGGCTGCAGCAGGGCTGGCAGTAGCCTCCACAGCTCTGGGAGGAGAAGGAGCCACAGCAGGAGCCGGTCATGGTGGAGTGTGGGCTGGAGTAGTGTTGAGGACTTGAGAGGAGTTGGAGGTTCTCAGGTGTGAGGACTTCTTCCTTCTCTGGGCCCTTTATATACCCTGGCCAGGTGCTCATGACCCCAGGGCACATGATCATTTCTTTGTTTTTGTGTATTTCTTCTGAATAAGTCCTCTAGACATCTTTTAGGTGTTTGGGTAGTCATAAAATTCTATTTGTTTCCCTTCTTTAATGGAGATTCATTATATTTTGCTATTTATAGTTCACATAGGAACTTAATGACCTTAACTTCAAAGTCTCCAATTATCTTTAGAATTTGATGATGCTTTTGCCCGTTGATGTTTGGATAGTACGAAGTAGCTGTCATACCCTTAGGGTTACTAACAGTGGAAGTTAATTAATTAAGTTTTGAGCATTCTTTTCTACTGCAAGCTTTCTGGGGAAACAAGTTGAGAATAATACTATAGAAATATTTTAAAAGCCAAGTTGTTTTTTGGGGTTTTTTCCCCCAGTAAGAGAAGAATTTTTCTATCTACTTTTGGAGCATTAGTCCTGTGTTATCAGTAGTTTCTGTCTTAGAAACATGCTCACTGATTTCTGGGCTTAAATCTTTCCAAAGCAAGGTGAATTTCTTTTTTTTCCCCCCAGGTTATCAAATGATAGATTCAATTTATTTATTGCATATTGGATATTCTGTCTTTCTTTGTTGTTGTTTTTTTTTCCTGTCAGTTTTGGAAAGTTGCATTTTTTTTTCAAGGAATTTGTTCATTTCATCCAAATTATCAAAAATATTTTTTGAGGTCTCAATGTGAATTTTATTATTTACAATCTTCATTGAATATCATTGAGTTTTAATTATGTTTCAAGCATCATGCTTCATGAAACACATGTGTTAGTTTATTCTTCATAACATTCCTTTGAGGCTGCATTATTTCCCATCTCAGGAATTACATAAGTGACTTGCATGTATCCAGTTAGTGTTTGAGCCCATGCTTATTCCAGAAATATCTGCAGGAACATTGTAAGCCCACAGAGCTGAATAGTAAGAGGTGGGAACCACATTCCCAGGTGTTAAGAAATATCTGATTTATTTAAGAATTTTAATAGTGTATTTATTTTAAAGCAATTGTTATTTGTGATATGACTAATTTTTAGAGTCATCTGAAAAGACTACGTGTTACTGATATCCTCAGGATTTGGAAGAATTATCTGCTGCTCAGCCCTCTAAAAATTCTAAAACACGCCCTAATGAGATAGTATAGTTGGGCATAATTAAATAGTCATGGGGCACTAATAGAAAAGCCATCAATATAATGCAAAAATCAAAGAACCTGAATTAATTCGGATGAAGGTTGCCATCTTCCAATGTGATAAAACGTCTGGGTAGTGACCCCAGGGGAAAGTGATCTCAGGCCCCATCTTGTCTATACCCAGTGTCTCCAATACCTCCTTGTGTGTGAGGCTTGAGCTCATTTCTGCTTACAAAACCAGCTATGATTTTCTATTGTTTCAAACTGTTAGGACTTGTAGGAAAATATTCCATGATCCACTCTGTAGACTTTACATCTTGATTTGCTTGGGTCTGACATTTTTTTCTGTACAGCTAGATCTGGGCTTGGAGGTTCAAGATTTTTCCTTCTTCAGAACCATGTTGCTTTCACAGTCCCTGACAGGCTTACTGGGACTTCTACCAGACACTGTGGTTGACCAGGGCATGGGGTTATCATGGAAAAAAATTCAATAATAATGATGAGTTTGGGAGAAAACAAAGCATTGTCTATCTGAGAAAGCACTCTAAGGTAAGGAGTCTCTAAAAGCTCAAGAAGGAAAAATCTGAGAGGAGGAAAACAAGTATAGTTAGAGAATTTTAAAAACGCTGATCAAGAACATGTAGAAAGAAATTTGATTTGTAAGCCTATCCATTGGTGAACTATTAGACCCTTAATAAAGAGAAAACGCCATACTAAAAATGTAAATATTTTGAGTATATGTATGTATGCACATTCCCCAAACTCTTTCAGATTAGATGTGGGGAACTCAAAACATCGATTTCAGGGGAACAATCTTGATTAGTCGTCTTTGCCAGGCTAAATGTGTCTAACTACAAAACCGTATCCAATATGGATTAATACCTGCACAGTGCTATTTTTTAAAGAGTAAAATGTATGTCAAGTTCATAGTCAGGATGGTTCCATCCAAAGCTATATTTGTCCCTCTTTTCTCAGCAGCAGCAATTTACTGGAAGCAGAGTTGGCCGTGGAGGTGCTGTGAGAGCCATGCAGAGAATGGGAGAGTGGGTGCTTCAGCGTAGGGCATTCAGGGGTCGGGGTTTCCGAGTACTATTTGACATCCATCACTGCACAATTTTCTATACTGGGGAAGCAAATGCAACTGTACCTTAACCTTCCTTCCCCTTATTATGTGTATAAATCATTTATGAGTCACATTCACGATCAGAGACCTGCTGTAGTCCCATGGTTTCCACAAAATTTGTTGTATTGGAAGATGGAGGTACAGCACATGAGATGATCTGAATTATTCGATTTACCATTACAGACCTTGCCCCTGAACTGTTCCTATGTTATAGCACATTTTTTTTTTTCTTTTTCAAAAGGAGCTTTTGAAGATTCAGAACAATAAAAACAAACATATTTGCTTCCCCAGAAATAAAATTTTATTTATTTTAAACCATGCAAAATTCACAGCATAAAAATAATATCCTGGAAAAAAAAATACCCCGTCTGAGACCCTTGAGATAGTGGAAAAAAGACGATGAGTCAGTGGGTTAGAGCTTCATTCCAGAGAAACTTTGATCTTTGTTTATGCATTTTTTAAAAATATCCAGGAATTCAAATGTTGACAGCTGAGATTTTTCCAAAGCTTGTGAAGAGGGCCAGGATTTGCTGCATAATTATGTAGGAAACTAGGCAGTTACTGTTGAGCTAGGGGTTGAAGAACAGATGGTTGGGAAGGCTGCATCTCTCCTCGGATCCTGCAGGAGTGGTGAGAGTTGGTGCATTTTTCTTCACACCTGTTGATGTTATGTGTTGGGCAGCTCAGCAGCAGGAGTTGCAGCAGGGGTTGCAGCAGGAGGTCCTGCAGATGGTGCGGCAGGGCGCAGGCTGGCAGCAGCGGGGGCGGCAGCAGGGCGCCTGCACACTGATGATCTGGCAGTTGGTGGAGGCCCAGCAGCAGGGTCTGCAGACCACAGCTGTGCAGGACGTTGGGCAGCAGGTGATGGGGCGGCAGCAGCCTTCCTGCAGGCCACAGGGGTCGCAGCAGATGGGGCGGCCGGTGGGCTCACAAATGGGGCGCGTGTAGCGGGGCACACAGGTCACAGGGCGGCACACGGTGGTCTGGCAGGACACGGGGCGGCAGCAGCAGGGGTCGCGGCAGCAGCAGGGGTCGCGGCTGCAGCAGGGCTGGCAGCAGCCTCCACAGCTCTGTGAGGAGAAGGAGCCACAGCAGGAGTCACAGCAAGAGCCGGTCATGGTGGAGTGGGGATTGGAGTGGAGCTGAGGACTTGAGAGGAGTTGGGTGTTCTCAGGTGTGATGTCTTCCTCCCACTTTGTGTCCTTTATATACCCTGGCCAGGTGCTGATGGCCCTCGGGATACAAGGACGTTTCCTGGAGTTGTGGTTGCCCACTGAAACAAGAACTCTGGATTCAGTTCCTGAAGCAGCAGTTCCAGCCTGGGGTAGGATGATTTCCTTTCCACCTGTCTGCCTTTTTCCTTGAAATGAATATTTAATGATTTGTATCATCAGAAAAATTGCTTAGCCATCAGCCAATCCTTCCAGACCAGGTCATGTGACTGGTTGAAAGTTTGAAGGACCTAGTGATGTCACACCACACTTTCCTCTTGTTCACCATCTGTGATGAGGCTGTTCATGAATCACAGGCCTGGTTTCTGGTTGACTCTGAGACAAGGGGCAATTTTCTAAAAGACAAAATGACTCATTAAAGAAGATGTGTATTTGTTCTCCTATGGGAAAAATGATCCTGTGTTTTTGTCAAGGAACATATTACTTCTCCTTGTTTATAAGGAAACAATCACCAAAAATACTAGTGTGATTTAAAAAACAAATAATGTGAGTAGGTCTCTAATTCATAATCAACTTATGTAAACAGTGCTAAACTCTTTCGGGGTAGAGAAAGAGAAATAGAAATAGAGTAAATTCTGAATAGTTTCCTATCATATACTAATCACAAATATTAAAAAGGCAATACAAAAGTAGATAAAGTAAATAGAGGAGAAGAACTTTTCATGGATCAATAAGGTCCAATGAAATGAAGATTTTATTTATACTGTCTTTTGAATGCCATTTCCTGATTATAGTCTTGGATATACAATTAAAATTGGAGTTATTCTTGCTTTCTAGATGGGACATAAGCCCTCTCCACTAACTTATTCATGAATCTATTGAAAATATTTATAAAGGAATTTATTATCTTTTTTGTAGTAGACACTGGCTGTTGCCTGAGGTTTTGGTTGCATATGAGGTATGAAGGTATGGTTATAAAAAAAGACAAAAAAAAAAAAAAAAAAGACAAGGGGAATTAAGTGGGCTCTTGGCTGATAAACAGCTTTGTCTTTTAAAGGCATAGCTAAGAAGAATAAGGATCTAGAAAATAAAGGAGATAAAAGGTAGCATTGTCCCAATTTGGCTGATAGTCTTCAGGCTAAATTTGCCTCTGAGGTGTGTTTTGTTTTATGTGCTTATTTTCAATACACTTTTTCATTCACCATATCCCTGATTCTTGAGGTCTCTGAGTTTATGATCCTTCACAATTTTTGGAAGACCATTTAGTTAAATGATTTCTCCAAAGATCTTTGCAACAAAGAGTGGTTCTTAGAAAATATAAGTAAGCTTGACAAATTCTTAGCCAAACTAACCAAAAGAAAAAGAAGATCCAAATTAACAAAATTAGAGATGAAAAGAAAGATATCATCACAGACCTTTTTGAAATCCAGAGGTAATTAAAAACTATTTGAAAACATATTCCAATAAATTGGAAAGTCTAAAAGATATTGACAAATTTCTGGATACACGTGATCTATCTACATTGAACCAAGAGG